CCGTGGCTTTTTCCTGAGCTTCCGGCCCACAGACTGAGGGGGAATCAAGTGGCTGATCAGAGGGGGATTGCAGGGATCTCTTTGCCAGTGCTGAGGCAGGAATATCTTGCTTTACCAGTGCTTAGATCTGGGTCACAGTTCTGAGGGGTGGTCCTGGGGTGAGGAGGAGCGCTGGTGTGGTGGAGCTTGTGGTGGTGGAAAGGAAACACCTCGCCTCTTATCATACCACCTTGGAAGAACTGAAAATTTTCAGGTCCCTAGAATTATCTCTGAAAATAGCTGCACAAACCCCTGAAGCTTGGGACAGTACACTCTTCCTATTGGAAGCAGACTTTTACCTTAACAAAGAGTTTGAAACTCAAATAATTGGTTGGGATCATGAGTAAGCAGCACAAAAAGAGTCAGACTATATTGTCTTACTTTGGTGACAAAGAAGATCAAAACATACAACCAGAAGAAGACAACAAAGCCAAAGCTCCTACATCCAAAGCCTCCAGGAAAAATATGAATTAGTCCCAGGCCTTGGAAGAGCTCAAAAGGGATTTTGAGAAGCAAGTAAGAGAAGTAGAGGAAAAACTGAGAGTGATGCAAGAAAATCATGAAAAACAAGTCAACAGTTTGCTAAAGGAGACCCAAAAAAATACTGAAGAAAATAACACCTTAAAAAATAGCCTAACCCAAATGGCAAAAGAAGTGCAAAAAGCCAATGAGGAGAAGAATGCCCTAAAAAGCAAAATTGGCCAAATGGAAAAAAGTCCAAAAGCTTACTGAAGAAAATACTTCCTTAAAAATTAGAATAAAGCAATTGGAAGCTAGTGACTTTATGAGAACTCAAGACACTGTAAAACAAATCCAAAAGAATGAAAAATTAGAAAACAATGTGAAATATCTCAATGGAAAAACAACTGACCTGGAAAATAGATCCAGGAGGGAGAATTTAAAAATTATTGGACTATCTGAAAGCCATGATTAAAAAAAGAGCCTAGACATCATCTTTCAAGAAATTATCCAGGAAAACTGTCCTGATATTTTAGAACCAGAGGGCAAAATAGAAATTGAAAGAATCCACCAATCTCCTCCTGAAAGAGATCCCCAAAGGAAAACTCCAAGGAATATTGTAGCCAAATTCTGGAGTTCCCAGGTCAAGGAGAAAATATTACAAGCAGCCAAAAGAAAGAATTCAAGTATTGTGGAAACACAATCAGGATAACACAAGATTTAGCTGCTTCTACATTAAGGGACCTCAGGGAATGGAATATAATATTCCGGAAAGCAAAGGAGATAGGATTACAACCAAGAATCACGTACCCAGCAAAACTGAGTATAATCCTGCAGGGGAAAAAAGGGTCATTCAGTGAAATAGAGGACTTTCAAGCATTCTTGATGAAAAGACCAGAGTTGAATAGAAAATTTGATTTTCAAATACAAGACTCGAGCGGAACATGAAGCGATAAACAGGAAAGAGAAAATCATAAGAGACTTATTAAGGTTGAACTGTTTACATTCCTGCATGGAAAGATGTTATTTGTAACTCATGAGACCTTTGTCAGTATTAGGGTAGTTGGAGGGGGAAAAATTATATGTACGTATATATAGATATAGCTAGATAGATAGAGGGCACAGGGTGAGTTGGAAATGAAGGGGTCATATCTGGAGAATAAAATTAAGGGGTGAGAGAGGAATATACTAGGAGAAGGAGAAAGGGAGATGTAGAATGGGGTAAATTATCCCACACACACACAAAAAAAAAACAACAGAAAAGAAAAGGCTCTTACAGTGGAGGGGAAACGGGGGAAGGTGAGAGAGAATGAGTGAATCTTGTTCTCACAGGAGTTGACTTAGGGAGGGAATAACATACACACTCAATTGGGTATGGAAATCTGTCTTACCCTACAGGAAAATAGGGGGGAAGGGGACAAGAGAGTAGGGGAATGATAGAGAGGAGGGCAGACTGGGAAAGGGAGTAATCAGAAGCAAATACTTCTGAGGAGGGACAGGGTCAAAAGAAAGAATAGAATAAATGGGTGGGCAGGATAGGATTAAGGGAAATAGAGTTAGTTTTTCACAGCATGTCTACTATGGAAGTGTTTTGCATAATTGCACATATATAACCTATATTTAGTTGCTTGCCTTATCAATGAGGATGGGTGGGGAGGGAGGAAGGGAGAAAATTTGGAACCAAAAGTTTTAAAAACATGTTTAAAAAAATGTTTTCACATGCAACTGGGAAATAAGAAATACAGGAAATGAGGTACAGAAATCCATCCTGCCCTACAGGAAAATTGAAGGGGAAGGGGATAAGAGAAGGGGGGGAGAGATAGCAGGGAAAGCCAACTAGGGGAAGGGTTATTTAGAATGCATTCCATCTTGGGGTGGGGGAGGGGCAAGATGAGGGGAAAATTTGGAACTCAAAATCTTGTGGAAGTAAATGTTGAAAACAAAAAAATAAATAAAAATTTACATTAAAAAAAGATTGGAAAAAGGATAGCATGGGAGAAATGTTAATTTGCCAATATTTCCCACTAAGGTCAATCTTCTGCAGAAGCAAAGTAGATAGCAGTTTTCATGGTTATACATGCATTCACTCCATTTCATGATAGTAATAATAATAGCAATAATAATAGTAATAACAATATATCACCTTCTAAAAGTCAAACTATTCTTTGGAAGGGGCCATTATCAGCTATTTATTACTTACTATGGTTTCCTTTATTAGATCTTTTATTACTCCACTGCAGAAAGAAGTAATTAAATAGGGAGTCCAGTGCCAGAATGTATGTAGGGGGAAATCAGAAAAAGCATTAGAAGCCAGGGGAAAGCATTAGGAAACAGTTTGAAGAGTGGAGAGAAGCCCCCTTAAAACTCTAATGGCAACCTTTTCTAATTGGAAGTTTTCTTAAGCTAAGTCTTCCCATCTGTTTCAAAGATAAAAAGTCCAGGGGACATCCAGGAATTACAGAAGAGAGTACTAAATGTGTTAAGGTAAAAGAGCTGCTGTTCAGTCATGTCCAACTCTTCAGGACCCCATAGACCATAGAGTCAATGGATTTTTCTTGCAAAAAAAAAAACTGGAATGATTTGCCATTTCCTTCCCTAGTGGATCCTTTTGTCAAGCAAACAGAGATTAAATGACTTCTCCAGGATCTCACTACTAGGAAGAATCTGAGGATAGATTTGAGCTCACCTCTTCCTGACTCCAGGCCCACCCCTCTATCCACTGAGCAGCCAACTGCTTCTAATATAAATGAGAATCATGCAGAAAAGTTGGTTTACAATCAAAATAATATGGCAACTAGAAATAAAGCAAAAAAAAAGAAGAGTATTAGGCCTGATGGTTTACAACTGTCGGTGGAGATGAAATGGTCTTACCACTTGTCCATGGGAGAGTTATTTTCTTCACTCCAAATAGAAGTTAGAAAAAAAGGTGACTAGCAAACCACCTGAGTGGTTGTGGAGGCCTTGTGAATCTAATTGGGAGTCAAGAGATGCTTTCTGAGGTGAGACTTACTTAGAATGAATGGGTTTAAGGCAAATGGGCCTGTGCCCTTAAATGTCCTCTCCTGGGAAGGATGTGGGGGGAACAGGTATACAACCTCCATGGTTGCAGGTGCCTCCTCTCTAGGAAATTGTATTTCCTCCCTGAAAAATTACTCCCCATCATCTTGTGCACCTCCAGCAGCATGCTACACAACTTCCCCCCTCATTCCTGCATCTTATTAACATTTTCCCCCTTTGATAAGTGTTATTCCCTGCCCCACTATGCATTGATATATTCCCCAAAGGAGTTGATGTTTAAGCTTCTATAGGAAGACTTTCCCTTCCCTTCACACTAGCACCTATAGTAAGACTATCCTCTACTCCACCACCATACTTTCAATGAGAAATTTGCACCAGAATCCATAATGTTTCTGCTTCCCATTATGGGCCCAGAGAATAGATTTCTGTCACTGTGTTTGTTAGCCTGGGACTGTAAGGCCAGGTTTAGGTGAAGTATTTTTTTGAGAAAACAGATAGTCAGAAAGAGTAGAATGGAACTAGGAGATATGTTCCTAGGTATTAGATATGGCAGCAATGAGCATGTATGTAGGATATTGCATGGTAAACTCAGTAAGGTGCAGGTGGCTTAAGGTAGATATTCCTAATAGACTTACTTTAGTTACCTGTCCCTAAAGGATATTGGGATGTGGAAAGAATGGATACTGTGGCTGGTGGTCACTGATGTTTCTAACTAAGACTTCAGTCTCAACGCTAATTGTTGCTCTAAGTCACATCCCTGATTTCTCCTACCACCACATCCCATCCCGGCAAAAATCTCAGCATTACCTTGGTTGTAATAGATAAACCCTGGACAAATAAGATGCCTGTGATGCTCTGTTCTGAGCTCTGTCACTTTGAGAGAAGATAAAGCCTCCTCAAGGAAAAACCGCAAAGACTTAGAAGATGTGTGGACTGGTTGTATAGAATCCTGGTTTTATAATAGAGATAAGAGCCCAGAGATGGTGTGAAGTTAAAGAAAAGAAATTGGGCTTTTAGAGGAGATGCATGAATGCATAGAATTTCCCATGGAACCAGTTAGTTAAGTTCAAAGTGAGTACACTGTGCAAATATATAACACCAAGAACCATTTCCCCATCCAAGCAATAGTTCACCAGATAAGAATTGAAAATTTGCAATTATCATGAAAATGTTATAAGACATTAAGTGAAAGAAATTCAAATGAAAGTAACTTATTAAAACTCTGAGGTTTGACCACACACACCTCATATGGTGGCAAATGTCAAAAATAGGTGAAACTACAGAATTTGGAATGGTTCTGGAAAAATAAACACACTAATGTTTGATTGCTAGAGACAAAGATTGGTCAAAATGATCCATAAAACAATTTGAAATTTTTTGACAAAAGTGAAGAAAATAGCCTTTGAGCCAGTAATCTCACCACTGAGTGTATGTTCAAAGGAGGTAAAAGACAGAAAAAGGCACCATATATATTCCAAGAGATTATGGTGCTTTCTGTGATAGCAACAAAGTGAGTATGAAGTTTGTGTCTGACAGTAGGATAACAGCTGAAAACTTTGTGGTATGTGAACATAAGTGTATTTGGCATGTACTGTCATAGACTGTCACTGTGTTGGTCTTGCTTAACTTTTTTTTTCTAGATCACAAAGAGACTCAGTGAATGAAGTATAACTGGAAATAAATATGGTGGGAAAACAAAAGGAATCAACACAACCTTTTTTAGATAATACAAAGTAAAGTTCAATGGGAAGGACTAGAGTGAAGCCAAGGAACTGGGGGGGAGAAAAAAGAAAAATAAATAAGGGACAAAAGTCTTTACAAAAATGTTATGCTCAGTAGCTGATACACAACTCAGAGTCATTGAGGATACACAATGACGTGGATTTGATTGTTTTTTAGCCAGTGAAAGAGAAAAGTGCCTAAAAGCTACTTCTGAGCATTTATATCCAAATTCCATTGCTGACTTATTTTATGATGGATTTTCTCACTCTAATCTTTCTCTTTCTGTCTGTCTGTCTGTCTGTCTATCTCTCTCTCTCTCTCTCTCTCTCTCTCTCTCCCTCCTTCTCTCTCTCTCTTTTACATACAGATCCATCAAAAGACAGAGATCAGAAATAAGAAACCATACAGGAATAACAATATTCATTTTTCGAGGCTTGACAGATGACCCACAGCTACAAGTTCTGCTTTTTATCTTTTTGTTTCTGACCTACATGCTGAGTGTAACTGGAAACTTGACCATCATCACCCTGACTTTGGCGGATCCCCACCTTAAAACTCCCGTGTATCTTTTCCTTAGAAATTATTCCTTCTTAGAATTGTCATTCACAACTGTCTATATTCCCAGATTCCTGTACAACATGTCAATTGGAGACTATACTGTGACCTATAAAGCATGTTTCACTCAATTATTTTTTGGTGTCCTCTTTGGGGCCTCAGAATTTTTTCTCTTGGCTGTCATGTCTTATGACCGCTATGTAGCCATTTGCAAACCTCTGCACTATGCAGCCATCATAAACAACAGAGTCTGTAACCAGCTCATCCTGGGTTGTTGGTTGTCTGGGTTGATGATCATTGTTCCAATACTTGGAGGGGGTCTTGAGCTAGAATTCTGACTGACCATTTTGCCTGTGATGTGTCACCATTGCTAAAGATCACATGCTCTGATACACAGTTCCTAGAAAGAATAATTCTAACATGTGCTGTGTTGACACTCATCATCACCTTAGTGTTAGTGGTTCTATCCTATGTCTATATTGTCAAGACTATTCTGAGATTTCCCTCTACCCAGCAAAGAAAAAAAGCCTTTTCCACTTGTTCCTCCCACATGATTGTTGTCTCCATGACTTATGACAGCTACATCTTTATTTATATCAAACCTTCTGAAAAAGAAGGGGTGGCTTTGAATAAGGTGATGACAGTACTTGCAACCTCAGTGGCCCCAGTAATGAACGCCCTGAGGAATAAACAAGTGTTACAAGCTTTTAGAGGCACGTTCAAAAGAATTGCACTGATTTCAAAGCTATGAGGAAATTGACAGTGCAAAATATTTAAAAGAAAACCTGAATAGTTTTGAACCCTTTGTTTTATGACCCAATTTTATTCTCTTACTAATGCCCCCTCACCCACAGACCCAAATCTGACAGCTCCTTTTCTCTCTTATTCAAAAATCCTCACTGATTGAGACTTTTTCCTTTCCCACTACATCTCTCTTTCAAAGGTTTTTACTTCCTTTCAACCACCTTACTCACCCCTTCATTTCTATAAAATCCATGGAAGATTTTTTTTAGAACCAACTATGTATGAGACACTTATTATCAAAAAAAATTTCCAGTCCTTTATTTAATAGTCAATATAAATTTATTAAGTGTCTATTACATACCAGGTACTATGCTATGCACAAAGATATGGATATGAAAAAAGAAAAACAATCTCTTCCTCACAACAGGTTAAAATATAATTAGGAAGACAACATACAGAAGAAAGCTGAAAAGTGGGAGGGAGAGGAAGGGTTCGCTGCATGAGGAGATGGTGGTAAGTTAGTCAGAGAAGTCCCAAAGTAGTGCAGTCAGGTAAGAAATGAGGGAATGTTTGAGCTCAACTCTGTCTTTAACTGAAGGTTCAGAGTTAGTGGCTCCACCATCCAATCTGAGGCAGGGGTAGTGATGAGGTAAACTACCAAGATCCTACAGGATGATTAAGTCATCCCAATAATGAGCTTCCTAGGGCATAGTGTAGATGTCAGTTTGAGAATACTCAAAGTAGTGCAGCCAAGGGAGAAATCAACTTTACCTGATGATCCATAATATAAAACACGAAAGCCCAAATACTGGGATTTCCTTCCTGAATACTGAAATTACCCCTATGAAAACTGTTATATGGAACTTTTGGCTTGAAACTTGGACGGTGAAAGCCAAAGCCTCAAAATAAAATACATCTTCAAGACTAAAAAGTCTGGAGGGTGCCCCGAAATAAGAAGTCAGAAATTATTACCTTTCACCTTTTGCTAACACATCTGCTTTTCCCTCATTGCAATATTTGGAATTTTTCCTACCTTTAAAAATAACTCCTTCTCCTTGCATTCCAGACACTCATTTTTAGTACCATATTTTGCTGACCTGTAAGAGATAAATTATTGGTCATATGCTCAAAAAGTAAAGCTGAACAGGGGCCACAGGAGAACTTTGTTAGTTATTTTCCTCAAAAAAAAAAGTTTTTGTTTGTTTGTTTGTTTGTTTTTTGCATCTGGCAGCATATGGGGGAGAGGAGTATTTTTCTGGTATAATTTACTCTTTCCTTGAGGTTATTAATAAAAAAGCTATTAATGACATTTATTCACATGTATTATTTCCTCTAATCAGACCTATTGATATATTACCATGTATTTTCAAGCCTTTAAGGACTCTCTTGTTTTCTTTCTAAGATAATTACTTGAGGGAAAAGTTGAATAGATTCCTGACATTACATTTATGTAGCACTTACAGGCATCAATATAGCCTACAAAGTGAGCCCCCTGGCCTGATTATCCCATTTAAAGGGGTGAAATGCTTTATTTTTACTTTCCATTCTATTGTATGTCATTAAATGCCTTTGTTTTGAATTAATTGCATCTTTTGCCTGACTTGTAAAAGCAAACATATTGGTGAGGGCTCATAAGTTATTATGAACTATGCTTTTGAGTGAAAGTACACTCACTGTGTAGCACCTGGAGGTACCACTCTAACTTACAGAATGGGTCCCAAGACCAGGCTACATGAGGTTTGAGGTACTCTCCAGCTTTGCATCAACTCAAAACCATAATTCCTTACCTCCTACCAATACATTTAGTTTTATTACTCAAACAGAAAACACAGTTCAAAAAACATTTAATAAGGTCTCACATTAATAAAACTAATGGTAATATATTCCTCACATAAAACTGAGTCACAGATAGAAACATTATCCATGGGAAGAGTAAATATACACCTAAGGAACACATAGGATGAAAACATATATGACCATTGCTTATGCATAGAAGGATAGGTGACTCAGGCCTGCAATGCTGCAGGACTACTGTCCTTATTTAATGATATTATTACTGCACTACTCCCACTACCTTTTCTCCCTGTTTGTCTCTGCCTGGTTCATAGTACTGAAAAATTGACTTAACCCTTTGAATTTTTCTAGTTTACCTGAGGCATTGTACTTTATTATTTATAATTTAAATGGTAGGGATTTTCAAGCACAGATGAAGAGTCTGAGTGTCTTTATGGTGTTTTTCAACCAGGTTGAGCAAAGGAGTGATTTTAATTATTCTGTCAAAACAAAAATGAATATGAGTCATTCAGAGTGAAACTGGGAGAGAAAGGTAAAAAGGGAGAAAATTTATGAGTGTATATAATGCTGAGAGTTAGTCATCCTCAGTAACCAAGTAGGACTTTTGAAAATTTTTGAGAAAGACATGATATTAAGACAATTGATTATAGTGGATCAAATAGGTGACTTTCCATTATTATGTCCAGAAGAAATAAGATTTTTCCATGGAAAAGAGGTTTCCCTTAATCATTGGTCTTTATTTGAGGGGATGGAGGACTGTGGAACATAATGTCAAATTCTCTAGGAAGACAATAGTCAGTCAGGGCTAGAATCCTGATTCCATAGTAGCTTTCAAATAGCCTTGGCCAGATATGTTGTCTACACCATATATACCATCTCTGTTCAATGAATATATTGTCTACACTGGTTGCATTGCTTCTGACACAGCCTCCTTAATTAAATGCAAAAGAAATTCTTGATGATTTTTCATGGAATTTTGATCACAGCTGGACACAGCTCCACTGCACTAGTGGTTATAGGACTTCTCTCTGATTCCAGCTTCCAGTTCCATCTAGAATCCTTAGTTATTGGGTTATCATCTTCTTTCTGGGAAAGTTGAGCTTTGCCATACTCTTTTAGTCCACAGGTTGTTTTCACTTGTCCTGTCTGTATAACTCATTAACTTTGCCTGGCAATTAAGGTATTTCTCAGGAAATAAGCAGGTAATCCTCTTTCTCCAAAGAACAGGATATATTGACAGATCCCATTCTCCATGACCATGAATTACCCTTTTGGAACAAGAGGCACTTAGTCTGCCTCTTCCATGTCTTTCTACAGGAAATCTCTCATTACCCTGATTGTTGCCATATCTTGGTCTGGATTTATTTATTCTCAGGCTGCCTACAAACACAGTACAATAACTATATGCCTCTGCCTCAAGACAGCACTTTTCCATTTGTGGGATGAAATACTACTCCCATATAGGTTATATTCCATTTAGAATACAAGGCCATGATGCTCCACATTGGTCTGACTCCTGAACAGTACGAGGCAAAGAAGAATTATAGCAATAAGAATAACTATTGGGCCTCCAGAAGGAGAGTGAAGAGTAAGAAACACATCCTATACTTCTTCAGTAAGGGGCCTCTCTTGGTTCTGGACTCAGGGATACATGGCCAGTTTCAGATGTGGGGGCAGCCCAGGCCCAAAATGTGGAGTCACATTCTCTGACTTTTTTCATCCTCATGCTAGATATCTGGGGAAAATAACTTAAAGTTTAGGTTTGGTTGTTATGTACAATCTCAACTGAAAAGTCATTAAAGCAATTGCTTTAACAAAGTAGGATGATATAAATGAATTCATAGAATTCATCAATTTTTCTATACATTAACAACAAAATGCTGCAGAAAGAGATAGAAAGAGAAATTCTGTTCAAAGCAACTACAGAATGTATAGCATATTTGAAAGTCTACTTACCATGAGACAAAGAAACTACAAAAATATTCTTCACAGAGGTAAACAGATCTAAATAATTGGGGAAATATTAATTGCTGATGTTTCTGTCATGCTAATATAATTAAAATGATAATACTTCCAAAATTAATTTATTTATTCAGTTGCATAGCACTCAAGGTACAGAAGAATTACTTTAGAAAGTTAAAAACAACTATAATAACAAAATTGATCTAGATATACAAGAAGTCAAAATCTCAAGGGAAATAATGGAAAAAAGGGAAAGAGGCATAGCAGGGCCAGATCTCAAACTATAGTTCAAGGAGGTAAGTATCAAAACCACTTTGTACTGGCTAAAATCCAGAAAAACTGGTCAATAGAAAAGATTAGTTATACAATATACAAATACAAATCAGCAGAGTAGCATAGTCTTTGATAAGTACAATTACTAGAATGACCCCTTCTTCCATAGAAACTGCTAAGGTTGGGGAAGACAGAATGGAAAGCAGTCTGAAAGAAATTAGGTTTAGATCAAGATCTCACTCCATATATTACAGTAAGCTCCAAATTTAAATGTTATTTAAATATTTTAAAAATCACATTATAGACAAATCACAGAAACTGTGGCTGAGGGAGAGTTCAAACAAGGGATAGACAGGATTAAAAAAGATAAAATGGTCTAATTTGATTACTTAAAGCTGAAAGGTCTCTGCATCATGCAGTTAAAATTAAAAGGGAAATAATCAACCAGAGGGGAAAAAGACTTTGTAGTAGTTTCTCTGATAAACTTCTGATAACTAAGATAGATAAGAAACTAGGTCAAATACAGCAAAACAAGAACCAACAACCACAAAGAAAAATATTGAAATAATAGAACATTTTAATTCTCAATGGAATGAATCTAAGTCATTGATCAACAGACACGTCAAACCAGTCCAAATCATTAATAACAAGAGAAGTTGGAAATAAAAACAGTTCTCAGTTTTTGTCTTCTACCTATTAAGATGTAAAATATAACAACAAAAAAGAAAATGACAATTATTGGGGGGACTATAAAATTGTTGGAGGAGTAGACTAATGCTCTTTTTATGCTTCTATTAATGTTGGAGTCATTCTATAAAATGGAAATATAAACAAAATATCACTAAACTTTGACTAAAAATACCTCTAATTATGGCAGCATCCTTGTGTTATAGCAAAAAAAAAAAACTAAGGGAATTCTCACTAATTGGTAATGGCTGAATAAATTATGGTGTGTAACTATAATGGAATATTATGGTA